CACACCTGTGCACCGTCCTGTTCCATCTCCCCCTTTTTAAGTGTACTTCAGGTATTTTTAAGCATCCTTATTTTGTAAATTTTAATTTATAATCTGAAGAGATTAAGTAAGACTTTCGCCCTTGACAGTGCTATTGTCTCAAAACTGATAGTAGCAACTGATGTGAATGGAATAAGCCGGCAGTGCAGGTGTGAGAGTGGCTTGCTAATGTCTGAGAGTTTAAGCTCAACCGCTGTGTATCTGCTAGCACGACCTTGATTCAAGAGTTTGTTCTTCCATTTTTTTTGAAGGATCTTTGCTTTTGGGCTTGTAATTGCTTTGCCAGCTCTTTGAATGTAGTTTTTTTTTTATATTTATTTGCACATTCAAGTAAAATAAAATATTGATTTTAAAAGTCTGCAGCTCTCCCAGTTTTCAGTTTGTTTTACATTAATTTAAACTTTCTGACAATCCCCCGAATTTATTCTCTTGCACCTGAAACTGAATTTTAAATGGTAGAAAAATGCACTTTGAGGAGTTGGATGGACGTCCCTCCAGGCAGCTGCCAGGCAGGCTGCAGGATGCAGTGATGTAGATGCGGACCAGCAGGCAGCAAACCTTCAACCTTCCCCGCACTGAGGAGTTGGTGCGCCTGGTGCACCAGCTAACAGAAGAGGGAAAGGAATTTCCCTGAGGGGAGATCCTGTGCAGGAGGACAGTGCCGGTGTCTCCAGGCTCTGTGTGTCCTGTCAGGAGCGCTCGGAGCAAAGGCGCAGCCCAGGCGGCTGCAGGGGAGGCCAGGGGGTGGCACAGCTGCTCCAGGCAGAGAGAAGTTTCGAAAGAAAAGAGCGTGTGGTGCCAGCAAAGCAGATCTTCCTACAGATTGACTTATTTTGAGCAGCACCTTTGCCATCAGAGGTGTGGCGCAAAAATATGGCCCAGGCCTGGCCCCCAAGTACTCGCACGCTAAATACAACAGACATTCAAGAAAAGTGACTGATTCCAGTTCCGAAATCTATAAGCACATCTGCTACAGGTTAAGACAATACAACTGCAACCATGAAAATAACCCTCCACCCGCCTTTCCCTCGACCTCCCCAAATTCCTGGGTAATAACATGTTTAACTGTGTTCCCTGTGAGCTCTGCACAACAAATTAATGTGTAGATTTTGCAAATTAAGCTGCAGTGATGTGACCCAGATCTGATAGGAGTTTCCTTTACATCATTCTCAACACTTCCGTTGCCATAACAAAAGGCAACTCTGCTTTCTGTGCAGCATATTACTTGCTCACAGGGAAACAAGCTGTTGTTCTCCTAATAGCAATTCTCTGATGCATAAATTGCATGGAATAATTTGATTAGAATGATGGTAGTGGTATCTCAGAGGACACAGACCACTTTAAACAAGACTTCTCGCCGAGATCTTGGACCTCTCATAAAGAGGACGTTCCCTGTGCTCAAGGGGAGGGACGGCCAGATCTGACATCACCCAAGAGCAGTTGGAGGTCTCAGCAAGTGGACAGCTTTGGCAACGACAAAGGAAGACAGCTTCGAAATATCTTTCAGGTTTGGAGGATGGAATAAGAATTAATGGTTTTCTAAATTAAATTAAGAATTGCTAAAGGGAGTACCTGAATTCAGTATTTAATATTTCTGGACTTTTTTTTTTTTTTTTTTTCCCCCACACACGTTTCTATATCACAGGATGCACCGAAAGTCGGGGCTGCGAACCAGTGAGAGGTGTAGGCTGGAGTTTGGGTGTAAACATGAGTGGAGTTTTTCTTCACGCTTTAGCCATTCCTCTGGATTAGAGCGAAGTAACTCAACCTTCATGAACCTAGAGGTACGCTCCACCTTCCACTCAACAGAATTAAAGACCAAATTAAAGTCTTATCAGTTCTAAACTGTACCTGTGCTAAAGGATTATCCAAAAAGAATCACCTGAGACCAAGTGCTGGAAAGGGAAGATGTTGCTTGTATCAGGCAATGTAGCCCCTACCCCAGTGTCATTATCTCCCCGAGAAAGGACCAAAAGAAGCTATTCCAGAACACCAAGTGAGTTGTAGTAAAGCTAATAGACTTGAAATATTAATGAAAAATGGCTCCATGTGGACTTCCTACACTCTGAAGTGAAAATTGCAGGTAAGCAGAAGAGCAGTTCCAAAAAAAAACCTGTCTCCCCTGAAGTATTACACCAGCATCAGGCTTACAAGTGGCGAGGAGAACGTGGGCACAGAAGGTGTGGTGTAACCAGGGGAAAGAATTGGGTGGAATCCCTGCGGAAGGGAAGAGGGGAGGCAGGGAGAATCCCTGGAGCTGTGGAGAGTCTCAGGGTGATGTAGGAAAGCTGACGAAGTGAGAGGAAGGGGAGCTGGTGTGATGGCAAAGTCAGGAAGAGTGTCCCAGGCACGAAGTCATCTTGTACGTGCCAGAGCCTGCGAAGAGCAATCTGGGCTGGCTGAAAGGACCATCGTTTCCATTTCAAGAGTCAGGGGAAGTTTTCTGTGGCGTGTGGTTCTGCGAAGGCGCAGATGCGCGCACAGCCGGCGGCAGGGAAAGGCAGGGCCGGCGTTGCACTCATGGAAAATGTGAGGTTGTGCTGACGCTGGTGGAAATGCCTCATGCTGCTGGCGCTAAGGCAGAGCTGCTGCCTCCGTGGGCAGCTGCCCCTCGGCTCTGCATCGCAAATCTGAGCTCAGCCCAGGGCAGGGACGAGCTGCACTAAGATTTCTGTCCTCACACCTGCTGGCTTGCAGGTAAAGAACCCTGGAGCCGCTGAAACAGCACAGAAAGAGCAAGCCCCATTATTTGCCTACCACAGTTTGCTCTTCCAAGCCTTAAAGATGTATGGGACAGGCCAGGTGGTGTTTGTACCCTCCCTTTGAGCTTTAAAATCCCCAGCCTGTTTTCAGCATTACATCTTTTGGGTTCAGAGCCATGGAATAAAAGAGCGCCTTCTCCCATGAGATGATCTATTGCACAATGAATTACTTTAAAAACCAAATTGTTACCCCACAGGGCAGGGATCACACAACTTAAAGAGATGTTAACAAGCCGTGACAAACCTCTGGCATTAGACTTTTCAAGCAAGCTGTTCTGCATCTAAAGCAGTCACTAAAGATCACACAGCATCTGAAAAATGAAAGATACAGCAATGAGTAACCTCTCTCTGCTCCACTCCAGAGACCTGGCCGTAGGAAGCAGGGCTGTGATTTGCACACTATCTGAACCTGATTATGTCTAATTTTTTGCATACAGAGCATGGAAAGGATCCTGGCTGAGGCATGGAAAATATGTGGCCACATGAGTCATTCTGTAATGGTTCATAAATCCTGAGAGAATCACAAAAGCAAAACATCTAACATTGCATCTTCCCTGTCCCTGCCAGTGGAACTCCACCTCTCGACATGCTCGGCACAAGGATGTGGGAATACGGTGAAAGCAAAGGAAATAGGATCATTTTCTCCTTGGAATAGAAGAATCTCATCAAACAGCAGCCAGGCTCAGATTTGCAACCTTCACAGAAGAGGCCATTCATAAGCTGAGGAGAAAGAAATGAACTACTCCTCAAGTTGCCAAACCAAATTTACAGTTCCTACTGCCCGGACTCCAGCTTCTGTCCTTACTCCCTTGCAGACCCAGGCAGGGGACCGGAGAGCAAAAGCCTAAAAACCAGCAGCCTCTCAAGCTGTGACCTGGCCCACTGGCCTACCCACTCGATGGCCACTGGAAGTGGCCACACTGGGGCTTTGCCACAGGTGCTGGGAGAGGGTCTGGGGCTTCCCAGCAAGGTTGTGCAAGGCAGAGCACGGAAGGGACTTAAGCTCTGAAGGAGTTAGAGAAGGGGGGACGAAGCAGCAGAAGATCTTAAAAGTTCAGATAGCATCTGCCAGTCCCTCTCACAGCATTCTGTGAGTTGTTTTCTCCCTGCAGCCAGCAGGTATGTGGCAGCAGCACACCGCTGCTCCGAGCTGTTGGCTAACAGAGTGCTCAACCCACTTGGGGGTTTACGGGGTGGAGACCGCACATCTCTGGAAAAACACAGCTCTTGTTGGGCAAGAGTGACTGAAATTCACCATTATCTACCCAGGAGCAGAGACTTCCTACGCACTCTTGTCAGGCCCCTTTCCTGCTGGATGGAGCTGCTCTCCCTGTTCCTGGTACTTTATCAGCGGAAGCAGAGTGTCTCCAAGCGTGAGACCTTGCCACTGATCCTTTGTGTGTTATGGCACTCCAGCCCGGTGCTAGTGCTGATTCTTTCAAATGCAAATAGGTCCAACCCACAGGACTTTTAATCAACCTCTGCAGTGAGATCAAGAAGGAAGGTGCAGGAGTTTTGTCCCCTGTTTAACCAGGGGTCAGGAGCAGAAATACAGAAAAAAAAGAGAACTCTGAAAGGCCCAGCCTGATCTGGGGACTGCAAGGCAGATACTAAAAACCTTCAAGTGCCATGACAAGAGGCTGCGAGGGCCCTGTGTAAACACTGGGAGCTGGGGAGGTTTCTCTGGATCTGCAGCTCTCCTGCACTTCATTTATGTTTCTGTGAGGGGATGAGATCTTCTCGATTTGCACTACCAGAAAGCATTTTGAAACAGGAGGTGGGGAAAAACCTCGAATCTCACACAGAGCCACTTGGGTCTCTCCTGAGTGGAAGGATGCTTGACATAGGAGGTCAGAAGTTCAGTTTACACTCTAAACCAAATCCAAACTGCATCAAATCTGACCACATTTGTTATTTCCAGGAATGTTCTGGAGCAGGAAGGAGGCCCAAATGAGTCACCCGAGCCATCGTCTAGCTCTGACGATGAAGTACGGCCCCAATATGCTGAGGATCTGGACACACACGCCCCTCCCAGTCCTGGGTCTGACACTGGAGCGAAGTCTCTGCTCGGGCAGCGCATACTCGTGCGTGTCGTGACAGCCCCCCCATATGCCTCATCCTTCAGGGACAGGCCCGGTGCTTCCGTGAGTTAAGGGCCAGCAGAAGGAAATGCGTAAGCCGGGTTACTAATACTGCCTTTCCCACACAGCTCTGAGCTCAGCACCGCGCTGCTGGACCCTGCAGCGGGATGGAGACCCTCGGGAGTGGATGGCTCTCACCCAGGCTTGTGCTGTGCTGTGCCTTCTGGGGACTCTGCCTGGCCTCTCCAGACTACGATGGTGAGTGTGTACCTTTGAGCGGAAAATTGCTGCTTCTTAAAGTACTGGATACTTGGTACCTTTATAAGATTTCATATCTTAAAGCTATCGCATGGGAGTATGCTCAAATTGAGCTTCATGCATGCTCTAGTTGAAGCAGGAGGTGACAGAAGGTGATACAGAAGAGAAAGAAACTAGGGTGTAGGAACTAGAAAAACAAAAATTCGAGAAGTGAAACAGAGGGCACTTGAAACCAAAACGTTTAGCTAAGAGTTAGACTCCCACATCCATGTTTCTACCTTGGAGTGGCCCAGCTCTTAGCAGTCTTTTGAAAGCTGGGAAGAGGAATTGCCCTCAGGTTTCCCAGGCCTGCTGATAGTTGTACAACACAGCAATCATTTGGGAGGTGCGGGAAACCACATGACAGAGGAATTGTGTAAATTTTCAGTAAGGTTGCTGATCGTTACTCCTGCACGCCTGATTCTGTTAGCCAGCTTTTTCTGCCCACCACACAACATTTTACAGGACACTCCCACTTCTAGGGACCCCAACATAAAATGCAAAACCATAGCCTTTGGGGTAAGGGTTATGCATGCAGCCTGCTCTGCAACCCACAAGGGTAACTGCACAAACAGCAAGTAACAGACTGCGTTTATCTGACAGATTACTCTCAGAACAGCACCAATGAGCAGGTAACAACACCGGAGATCACACCGTGTCCCCGAGCCATCCCCGGGGAAAAGGCAACCATAAACAACATCACGTACCTGCTGATACACGAGGCCACCCGCTCTCAGCTGGGCAGCGTGGTCACAGTGCGGCTCATCCCCTGCCTCTACACCCTGGTGTTCCTGGTGGGGCTGCCTTCCAACGGGCTGGCCCTGTGGGTCCTGGCCACCCGGGCCGAGAAGCTGACCTCCACTGTTTTTCTGATGAACTTGGCTGCAGCAGACCTGCTGCTCACGCTGGTGCTGCCCTTCAAGATTTTCTACTATTTCCTGGGGAACAACTGGCCCTTTGGGGAAGGCCTGTGCCGGCTCACCACAGCTTTCTTCTATGGGAACATGTACTGCTCAGTGCTGCTGCTCACATGCATCAGCGTCGACCGGTATCTGGCTGTGGTGCATCCTTTCTTTTCACGCTCTTTCCGCACCCCTGCCTTTGCTGCCTGCACCTGCACTGCCATCTGGCTCTGTGCTGCCGTCCTCACCCTGCCCCTGACGCTACAGCAGCAGTCGTATCCCCTGTACGGAGCAGACGTCACTCTCTGCCACGATGTTCTCCCCAGGCATGAGGATGACGGGTATTATTTCTACTACTTCATCTGCCTGATTGCCTGCGCATTCCTCGCTCCTCTGGTGGTGATGCTCTTCAGCTACTGCTCCGTACTGCGAGCCCTCCTGGACAGTGGGAAGCGATACTCCTACTCTATGAAGCTCACCGCTCTCGTGCTGTTCACACTGGTGGCCTTCTACACACCCAGCAACGTTCTCCTCCTTGTTCATTACTCCAGCTATAACTCCAAGCTATATGGCAACCTGTATATCAGCTACATGGTAAGCCTGGCCATCAGTACCTTTAACAGCTGCGCTGATCCTTTTGTCTACTATTACGTTTCTGAAGACTTCCGGGATAAGGTGAGGAGTAGATTCTTCAGTCACAGAAAACAGAACACCACATCCCTAAAAACCTCCAAGGAAACACTCCCTCAGAAAAGTTCCAAAGACTCACTGGTGTAAGCCTCCATCCCAGCTCCCTAGGTACTCACAGCATACACTGGGGATGAGGTGAAGAGAGCACCGGGATCCCACAACTTTCATCCAGAGCAGTGAGAAGTATTTCCCAGGAGACAAATCCTTTCTCCTGTCTGCACAGCTAAGACTGAATAAACCTGGGCCACGGGCTTCCTGGAGAGGTGTGGAGTCCAGGCACGATGGGGGATGCTGAACCTGTATAGGTCTGTTACTGGGACACTGCATGCAACTTCTCATCTGGTCACACACTGCTGGGGATGCTCCTGCCGATACACCTACGTCTGGTTTCCCTAATGCAGCTTGCAGACTAGTTGCTATTTGTGTTCTACTTCTTTTTCTGCTACCGACTTGCTTGCTGTCCTTAAACATCTGCTACCGACTTGCTTGCTGTCCTTAAACATGTATTCCATTCATGTAAAACTGAAAAAAAAAAAAAAACAGGCACATGCAAAACCAAATTTCTAAATGTTTCAAAAGTACTAGGAGGTACCTATGTGAGAGGTACTCCCTGGAACTAAAATACTCTGTCAAGAGAATGTAGAGCACTGGCTTCTTTAGCAAATACATTCTTAGTTTGATTAGTAAACACCACTATTGGAATGTCAGCCCACTGTTGGTAACCAGTGTTAAAATCCCATTCACTGAGCCCTAGTTTTGCAAATGACCCTTGGCATCCATAATTTCTTTGGGGCAAAGATTGTATTAATGGATTTTTTTAAAAATTATTATGTCTCGTGAAGGGAAATATTAAAGGAGGAATTGAGAACCCCCTTGCTGTAGAACTCCATACTTCTTTTGTGTAATGTCACACACAACCAAGAGCTGTCTCTTATGAAACAGGTGACCAGGCTTGTTGCTTATTGGAACCTATTGCAAATTTGACAAAATGCAGCCAGCTCATCTCTTAGACACAACTAGGGCATATCCCAGTAAGCAGCAAGGTAGAAAATAAGTGGTAAACCTCCTTAGAGTTCCTGAATTCTTTAGTTTCACTGGTATAGGCATGACTTCTGTCCTCACCATAACCTATGGTCAATCAAACTTACAGCCTACAGTGTGAATAAGAAGAGGCAGACAACATTGTCTTAAAATCAGTTTTTAATAAAATATTTATCAGAATCTAAAACAAACCCTTTTCTGGACTCAGACTTGCTAAGATTTGTGTGAACAACACAAAAATGGTCATAGAACTGTTTGCGTGTACATGTATGTGCGGGGGTGAAATGCAGCTGAAAAACTAGAGCCTATCTCCTACGGGTCAGCACTGCACGTGCAGAGGGTGTGCCAGCTCCTGCACGCAGGAGACCTGGTGTAGCCAGGGCTAGTGCCACTCCGTCAGAAACAGCAAGTACTTAAAAAAAACCCAAAACCCAACCCCAAAGCCCAAACCGGGCTGAGGTTTTCTAACTAGATAATCTATTCACAATAATGAAAACCAGGTTATTGCGCATTAAATGTCAATAGTCGATGTCAGCAAAGCAAGTGCTGTTGGTTCCATGATGTTCTTTAAGCAAGCTGAACATTCTTCTGGTATTTTTTTTTTACCAAGGCTGATTAAGGAGGGAAAGAGGCAAGACCAAAACACTTGGACAAGAAAGAACAAGGGAACTATTGCTTTAAAATAAATACCATGGTAATGATTACTCTGCTTAATGTACAGTTACAAATATATAAATATTAATTTCATTGTAAGGATTGCAAGCAAAAATCACTGATAACTAGCACTGCTGTAGCTATTCAGTAACGTAACTTGATGTAAGTAGGAATCTCTGTGTTTTACAAACCCACTGGCACTTCTCTCCTTTTGCAGCGAGGGACCATCAGGAAAAGGGAAAGAGAAGCATCGCTCTGACAGAGGGAGGCAAATGTCTTTAAGCCAGAAACAATTCAAAGCCCAAAGCAGCAGCAGGTCTGCTGTACTTGCTGGCTTTCCACCACTGAGCCAGTCTCTTTCTTGGTGAAAAAAAAAAAAAAAAAAATCAATCCCTCCTCTCCAAACTATGATGGCTGGTCTTCACAAAGTTGGCACCTGAGTTTTCAGTGCTGAGCTGTCCTTGTGTTCTCAGGGACGGGAGTGTGACTGGTAAGCTCCAGAATCAGAACTGGGCCAAAGCCTATGAACAACATCAAGTCTGATAAGGCTAAGCTGTGGCCAGTGGCTCTCATGGATCTAGTCGTAAGTAGTTTCTCTATTCCAAGTAGAATTTTGAAGAATGGAGGAAAAATGATCCAGGAAAATTTTTTCCTAGATAAGAATAAATGATGATTATAAGGGTGGAGAAGAGTGCAGACACCTGCTCCTTACTCCTGTGATAGAGGAGGAAAGGCAACCACAACTGTGTAATTGCAGGTTCCTTTATTCAATTCCTAAATAAAGTGACTTTTTTTTTAACTACATAAAGGAGCCTGTTCAGTGTGGCAAGACTGGGGTGAGGCAGAGGCTGCCAAGAGCAAATGGACTAGTGCTTTCCCTGAAAGTGCCAAAGCTGTGAAGAAGCACTCAAGGTGAAGTCAGGCTCCAGGATCCAGAAATCCTGACACGTTACCTCACATGCACTGGCCCGTCCTAACTGTCTCTGTTTAAAGATGCTAAGGCTGCTCTGCCTTTGCCTTCTGAGGGTCTGGGTCTCTCTGGCTTTTCTTCTAGTTGAAAAACAGAAGCAAAACTCCTCTGCCTCAAACAGGTGAGTGCACTGGCACACAGAGACCCACAGAACAAGGCCATGATTGATGGGCTGGCACTACCAGGAGGAATTATTTAGCTGGAAGCAATGGGGAGGTGTCTGCACCTTGAATTAGTACATTACATGTACCAGAGCCTGAGGAAAGTGAAGAAAGTCAGGTTTAATACTTGGCTGAAATTCTCTGCCTTCATCTTGTCCCCAGTGGCGATGTCCAGGGATCTATGAGAGGACCAAGCAATACAAAATTACTTTAAATATCTATCCAGAAGCATACAATGGATGAGACAAGGAAACTAAAGGGACCGAGAACAGGAGACTGGAGAATCCAGAATGTAAGTCCCATCTTCTGTGGGAAGCTAGTCACATAGGCATTATCAGAGTGACTAAACGTCTCATTCTCCCAGACTCAAAGCATTAAACAGCTGAGGCTGGAACCAGCAAACAGCAGGGTTTGTATTGTGCAGCTTTGATATTTAGAAAAGAATTAAAAAAACACAAAACCAAAACTCTTGTTGCAGCTCACACTAGGTCTGTTATTTACCCAGGGGATAAATATTGACTCAGTCCTGTGTGTGTACACAATAGCCAGTGTCTGCCAGGCCAGTTGCTTACAGGAGATGGAATTTAGTTTTAAGGCATTTATTTACCTGCCAGAGAGGAATGCAGCCGCCAGTGCTTCCGCTGTGCTGTGCGGACACAGTGAGGACATGGTCTGTTCATGCACACTGAGGACACGTGGCAAAAACCTCTGCTGAGAAGCAGTGGGTACATATGGGCAGAAGCCACGTCAAGATCCTGTGAGGAGAGCTCAGAGCAGCCATGAGGGAAGGCTCAGTAACTTGCCAACAAAGCAGTTCTGACATTTCTGGGAACTTCAAGACCCAGACCTTCATCATGTCAACTACATTCTGCAAGTATCTGGCCCCAGACAAAAAGGACTGGAAATTACATATGTCCAACTTCTGGGATACCTCCTGTTCTGTCCCCATGTGGACATTTTTCTGGAATAAAATTGCCTTTATTCTGGAATGGAATGTCTATACTGGGATATATTCTTGTCATGGTTCCTGTGTAAACAAGCCCTAAAAATGAATGGAGCTGGGCTTTTTCCTGTTTCCATTCACCAATAAACACCCTCAAAAGGAGTTTCCACCCTGCTCTGGGTCCTGGTAACAATAGAAGTGGGAAGATAAAATATTAACACTATTTTGCAACAGGCAATTGCATGTAACTCCTCCAAAGAGAACAATGCTGCTCCAGGCAGGAAGGGAAACCAAAAAATCTTGGCTCCTGTACTTTTGGAAACACAAAGCTTTTGTTTTTAGTTTTACCACATTGCTTGGGGCAGGTCAGTCCAAGGGAGCTCAGCCTCTGTGACACCAGTGATTTGTACTGGCCAGCAGACCCAGGGCCTCTGCATCGATTACCGTATCCAGAAGAACCAAGGCATGGGGATCCCAGTGGGAGCAGAATAAAAGTGATTGGTGAAGTCAGGCAAGCATTTAAAAGGACTGCGCCTTGGGTCAGCTTTATTTTCATGCCAGGGTTACAAGGAGGAAAGGGGCTGAGAAGGCTGCAAGCAGCCCTTATCAGCACGTAGTGCAACATGAAGAGGGCTCACCCACCTAAACCTTGTCACTGCTGTGGCTGGCAAAGTCCCCGCCTGAAGCCTGCAGCCAGATGGTAGACAGGCAGGCCTTTCAGCCCTGACAGTGGATTTCAGTTTTCTCTCGTAAAAGGCACCTCCCAACAACTTTCCTGAACATGGAGCTACTGGGGAAGTTTTTCTCTTGTGGGACATAGATGTGGGTGCAGTAGATTTATGGGCTGGGGAAGATGATTAGCTTCTTGCTATATCATAATTAGCAAAACACACTGATTTTTATTATTATAATTTGAGAGAAAACTTCTCAGCCATCTGTCCTCAAACAGCAGTTCAGCTAAGCACAAGGCCTGGACTTAGCTTCTAAATGTAGCTAGGAAATGGCATTTGCAGTATCCTGATAGTAGAGAAAACACTTTGAAATGCTCTATAGGTTTGAATTCCAGCCCCTATTTTTCTCGCCTAGAGGGCACAGCATGTTGGTCTCCCATCCTTGGAAGTACTCCAAAGAAGATGCACAAAAGGCAGGAAAATTGACAGAAAAATAATGCTGAGTGTCCCCCTTAGCGCTCCAGATCCCCCCCCCATGGGGCAGCAAAGCCTACAGTTCTGAGTGCATCAGGAAGTAGTCATCGTTCGGTTTCTGTTCTGCAGCAGGTCGTCTGTAGGAACAAACTCGTACAGGAGTTGATTCTGAGCCTCTTCTCTTTATTTAAATTATATATTTCTGTTGAAAAGAGAACATAATGAAGAGAAGTCACTTTCTGATTACGTATCTTTGTGAAATATCACTGGGGCTGGGTAGAGAAGAGCTTAAAAGGTCACTTTTTATTCTGCTAGGGACGGAGACATTCAGGTCATGAAGAGTTTTATATGCTGCCCTAGCAAGATATTGTTCCTGGTGATTCCTTGCTAAAGAGGTTAGCAAGTCAGTTGTAAGAATGCCCCTTTTGAGGAACCGAATACATTTGGCCCAACACGTGAGTTATATGTTGACTCTCAAACCAGATTTATGATCCCCCTCTCTCTGGCTCACCATTCTACTGTGGTCACTACTTCCTGAATCTTGTCCACTTCTTTCAACGTGCTTGCTGTTGTCAGTTCTGCCACCATCTCAAAAACGTCAGCTTCCGAGGCATAGGGGTCTGGGTCATATTCATAGGAGTAGTATGACAGATCTGTCTGTAGCGGAGGGCCTTCCTCTGCTGGAAAGGAAACCAGAGAGTCTCAGGTTGTGCTTTAGCCAAAGAAACTGCATTTTGGCATCACACATTGCATCACAGAGAAGAGGAATGACATAAGAGGAAAGGAACTTTGATCAGGGGCCAAATGAGTGTCTTCCATGAGTAAAGGAGACTACACGTGTCAGCGGACCTGCACTTGCATGCTTAGATTCACATGCAGGGAGAAAAGCTGCTGTAAATCAGAACTTTTAATTTCCTGCCTGAGACCTTGACACTGGAACAAAATGAAAGGAATCATTGGGGGGGGGGGGGGAGAGGGGAGGAAAGAAAAAAGGGCCATGTAATTTGAAAAATCCTCAGTTTCTTTTTAAACTGTCTAATTAACTGCGGTGCTTCAGTTCACCCTGAGACCTATGTATAATAAAATAAAAGCAAGAGGTATCTTTGGGAATGCCAGATGATGTCACGGATGAGTTACTCTGCACCCTGAAAATACATCTCCTCTGACT